TTAAAACTTATGAATATATTCTATCCACAATTCTTTTATAGTGAACAACTATTTTATTTCATAAAATACAATATGTTGCCACTTGAGAAAATTAGTTTGCAATTTCTTGTTACTCTTTTCCAATATATTTTGATTTAATTGAAAAATATAATTTCCAAAAAATCTTGAATTAATATATTTGACTTTGAATCATTAAGATTTTAATACCTGACAAATAAAGCATATATCTTGTCAAAAATTGGACCTTGAATCCATTTGGAAAATTCCTATGATAATTTAGATAAATAATAAATGATTAATTTATTAATATACTGTATATAATTATTAATTATTAATAAAGTAGTATATATATTATATTTTCCAAAATATATAACAATTTCTTGTAAATTTATGGGCTTTCTATTTTTATAGAATGGTGATGGAATATTTGACCTTGGGCATATAGTTAACTGAAAATAACCACTTTTCTTAAAGTATGTTAAAGAAATCTTTAAGTCATCTTTAAAAAGAAAATCATCATAACTATCTCTTGGTTTTAGCTTAATATATTGATCTTCTTCAATAATTTTTTTATAAGACTCTTGAAATATGAGAGATGTGTTTGTTAATGAAATTGAAATAGGAGTTGTTAAAGTTCTATATATAGGGAAGGAAAGTTTACTTTGTAGCTATATGGATTTTTTTTGACTGTTCACTATAAGAGAGGAAGATCTACTTTGCCACATGGGTTTTGTTAACTGTTCTATTATAGAAGAGAAAGATTTTTGCTATGCAGGTTTTACTAACTGTTCTGTTATAAAAGAGGAGGATTTATTTTGCCATGCAGATTTTGTTGATAGTGATAATGGCATGCATGTGAACTGTCTGCTTTTGCTTCATAAATAAATGAGTAGAAAAATAATGTCTATTATTTCATTTATACCTTTATTTATCAAGTTTTTGGAAATTAAGTTGAAGTGACTTTTTAATTCTTGAAATGTAACTAAACAATTGTTAACAAGATATATATCAATATTGTTTAACACTACATTAAGATTTATAAAAATAATTAGATATATAAATGATTAAAAAATTATCAATAAAGAAATACAAAAAATTTGTTTATTTAATAAAGTATTTTTATTTGAAGATAAAAAATATATTATTGTTTGAATCTGTGATAATAGAATGGATAGAATAGTGATTGAACCATTGGAATTACTGATAATTATACAGAAGATATTGAACAAAAGAAAATGATTGTTGAATAGAATATTGATTGAAGAACTACTGAATGAAAGATTGAACATAAAACTGTTAAACAGAGAGTTAAACATAAAACTGTTGAATGGAAGATTAATTGAAAGGCTGTTGAATGGAATATTGAATGGAAGGTTAATCAAATAGCTGTTGAATGAAAGGTTAAACAGATGACTGTTGAATAGAAGGTTAATTAGATGCTGTTAAATGAAAGATTGATGAGATAGTATTAAATGGATGTTAACTGAATAGCTGTTAAATAAAAGATTAACCAGATAGCTATTAAATGAAAGATTGATCGAATAGCTGTTGAATAGCAGGTTGGTTGAATAGTGACTTCTCAAAGAATTTTTGACCAGATTATTGGAAGAATCATTGAGCAAATGATCACAGAAATGATTTTCTTTTTGGATTTATTTTTGAAAAATTTTTGGAAAAAACTATCTGCTTTTATATTTAATTTTTGTATAGTTATAACTTCATAATAAATAAATGATTATTATATCATCACTATTTTTTTACTATTTGATTAATGAATTGTTATTATTTTGCAATGATTCTATCATAATTTAATTAAAGCTACCTTTTTTTGAAATTGTATTACCATAGTGACATTTTATTAATAATTATAGTAATAATATCATTACTATTTTGCAACTAAAAGTTATTACAATATAGTTATAATTTGTTCATTATTTTTTTAAAAAGAGTTGATAATGATGTTATTATCAAAATAATAATTTAATTACTACTAAATGGCTGAGATTTTGTTACAACATAGTAAAAACCATTAAATTACAATTGAATCTTTATGATTCAGTCACAAAATCATAATAATAACATAACTAAATTATTAGAATTTGATAGGTTTCAGTAAAAATACTGTTATCAGTTACTAAATCTCTTAGTGTGGACTATACATGTTGCTGAAATTCGTAGATCCTTGACGCAATTAATTGAGTCACTATTAAAACATATAAATAATTGAGTTATAACACAATTATTTTTGAGGATTTTGGGAATTGAATCAACAGCAAAATAATTTATGCCATATGTATAGTGTGGACTATTGCTAAAACTCCAGGAGTCAATATTATTCTTGAAATTCTATTGTTTTAAATCAGTTCTCAGTTTATATTTTTTTCACAAAAAACATATTTCATTAGACAAATTTCTTGAAAAAAAAAAGCATCCTAAAAAGACAATTTTTTATAGATAGAGATATTGTGAAAAGGGATTTTTTTTTGTAAATACAATTTAATAAATTTATAAAAAGTTAATTAGAATTAAAATAGACTAATTATTTCAATAATAATTCTTAAAAAAATAAAAAAATAAAAAAAATTCTTTTCCACTTTTTCTTTTATACTTGAAAATTTCCTTTTAGAAAATTTTAAATTGTTTTCTTTTTTTCATTTTTCATTTTTTCTAATACTATTTTTTTTTCTATTATTTTTTCTACAAATCTTTTTTAATATATATTTTTATCTACCAAAGTTGGATTTTTTCTTTTTTCTGAAGTTTTTTTTTTCTAAATTTCTTTCTCTTTTAAAACTGCTGCTCTTTATCTAATTATTCTTCTGACCAGTTGACTTCTTTTTTTCAAGAACCATATTAAGAAGTAGTAACTTCTCTTATATTGTAGGCTTTAGGAAATTTTTTGTTTCTATAATTTTTTAGACATATGGTTTACTCCTTCCAAAAGATTTATAATTCTTATTACTATATTTAATATTGTTTACTTTTTGATAGTTAGATTAGATACATCTAAAAAACCACTATATAACTATTGTTATCTGAATTCTCAGAAAGTTATGTCCTATTGTATCCAGTTATATGATAGTTAATGCCAGTATAGAATTCTACAAATGATATTCTGGTATATAAAATACTTAGAGATTATAATTACTTTTGTAAACAGAACTGATATCAATAACAAAAGTTTCTTATTCATTTCTTAACAATATAAGTTTATATATATAGTTAAGTAACAATGTTTTTAAGAATTTCTAATACAACTCTATCCATTGAATACTCTTGTCACTTGAAAAATGGAAATACCAAATTCTTTATATAACTTGGAGGCCAACTTATAAAAAGTAGCTGCAATATCTTTATATATAAAAAATCAACTTTCTCTTTTTTTACTTTGTTTGTTATATATTAAGCCAACTTTGAAAAACAAGCATGCCAAATCTTATTTATGACTTGAAGGCAAACTTGTATATCTAACTGCTATGCCTTTATATGATTGTGTATTACAAATTCTTTAATCTTCTATTAAGCATTGCCCAAGATATGTAAATTTTGAAATCTTTTTGTTATTGCTTAAATAATTATTATAAAAAAAATACTTAGGATATATAAATTATTTTTTGAATCTTGTATTAAACTTTTCTTAGCAAAGAATGATATTTATTGGTCTTTACATATTGGTGTAACAATCTTAAATCACATGCTATGGGACCCAGATCACCCTGATGACCCGGATTCTCCAGATCAGCCTGATCAGCTTGATTAGTCACATAAGAATGACACAATACTAGCTCCTGACAATGCGATCCCATAGTCATATATATACATTTCCTAACTCAGAATGACTATAAAACAACTATGAGATAATATTACCATATATAGATAAACTTAGCTATAGTCGTGTTCTATTCTTTTTACGTGTTTACTTTATTTACTTTGTTTATTTTCTTATTTTTCTATTTCTATTTTTCTTTTACATATACTTTTTGTGTCAACTCAAAATATATAAAAAGGATACACTTTTGACCTGAATAAACTTAACTTTTTGTTTAAGTTCAATAAATATCTCTCTCTAAGTTCACTGTCTAATTGAAATCATTTATAATTTTATTAAGACTTTTATAACTTGGTAGCAGTGGATTTAAAGAACATCCTCCATACATACATACAAACACATACACCTTAAGAGAAACTCTGCCAAAATGGATATCACTTAATTTGTCACCTTTATAAAAGCCTTTCAGAAAACTATGAAAACTCTTACTGTTGAGAAAGTAAAAGCTACAGTGTCAAATTCTTCTTCTTCCTCTTCTTCCTCTACCACTTCTGCTTCAAAGATTTCTCTCAAAATCCTCACCTTTAAAGGAGAACCAGGAAAAAATGTTGAAGTTTGGCTGTGCCAAACCAAAAACATTCTACATGCTCAAGAAGTAACAGATGAAGGAAAAATGGTTCATTATGCTGCTACTGGATTTGAAGAAGCTGCTCTTCATTGGTCTGTTAACAAGATTAAGGATGCGACAGGCCCTACGTTTACTTCCTGGAACCAATTCAAGAAGAAACTTAAAGATGCTTTCCAACCTTCACACTATCAACAATATTTCTGAACTCAATTAAAGAACTTGTGTCAAGTAGGAACCGTTTAAGAATACAGCTCTCAATTTAGAAATCTTGTATGTCAGATTGATAATATGGGAGCTCTGGATCAAGTTGCCTACTATGTTGATGGATTAAAACCTGTGACAAGAATGGAAGTAAGCTATCAAGCCCCTGAAACATTAGATAACACTGTGAAACTAGCAATCTGTTATGATACTGCCATGTTTGGACTAGAAAGACCAAAAATGGAAAGTCACCTCTTAGGACTCTTAACTTCCAAAAAAAATTTCAAGAATCGAAGTGATCTGATCCCAATGGAATTAGATTAAGTTAAGGCAGAAAAGAAAAGAAACTTTTCAAAATAAGGAAAACAAATTACCTGTTACAACTGTGGAAAAGAAGGACATATGGCAAGAGAATATAAAGAAAAGTCCAAAGCCAAAGTATCGATTATTGAAGAACAAGCCTCCTTTTCCTCCAACGCTAAATTTGTTCATATTGAGGAAAATAAAGAGCAACTGCTATGCTTCAATGGGAAAATTAATGGCCATCCTGCTTGGATCCGCTTGGATAGTGGAGCCTCAAGAAACTTTGTTAATAAAAAGTTTGTGACACATCACCAATTGCAAAAAGAAGATACTACTCCCTTTACTGTAGAACTGGCTGATGGAAGAAAGAAAGAAGTTACCGATGAGGTCAAGATTAACAAGTTGGA